TTTTATATATATATATATATATATATATATATATATATATATATTTCTTTTTTTATAACTAACCTGTTTTCCCTTTTCCTCCTTTACCAAGACCAAGAACTTTTCCACCAACTTTTCCTCCTACCTTACCACACACTTTTCCTGCAACTTCCATGATTATTTTATTTTAAGGAATATAATTAAAAAGAAAAAAAAAAAAAAAAATGTACAAAAAAAAATAGGAAATTTTTCTCAAAAAAGAAAGTTATATTCAAATAAAAAAAAAAAAAAAAAAAAATGTTTATATTTGTAAAAATTTTTTTAAAAATTTTTAACGTAATATTGTTAAAGAAAATAAAAAAATATATATATGTATATATATTTTCCTTAAATATTATTTTGTTATAATTTTATTTATATTTTGAACAATTATTTAAATACAAAAAAAAAAAAAAAAAAATTTTAATGTTTTCAAAAACAATTTTTTTTTTTTTTTTTTTTTTTTTTTTTAAATGCCTATCAAGAATAATATGCAAAAAATAATTTTACCATAATATTGTTTTTTTTTTGAATAGTTTTTGCATTTATTTTTACTTAAAAAATATATAAATAAAAAAAAAATTATTTTAAGACATTTTACTTAAAAAGTACTCGTATCGTCGCACTTAAATCGCATAAATAAAAAACATTTAAAATAATTATTTCGATAATTTTGGATTTTAAATAAAATAGTAATTCATATTTTTAAGCTTTTTTTTTTTTTTTTAAATTTTATCTCGATAATAAAGTTAAAATTGATAATTTTTTGTTAATTTTTTATATTATGAATTACATCTATAAATATTGTTAAATATTAGTTTTTTTTTTTTTTTTTTTTTTATTTTTTTTTCCCCATATTTATATGGAAGCAATTTCATTCAATTATTATAATTGTTAAATTAAAAGTATATTTTAATTTTTAATTTTGTAAACTTAATAATAATATAAAATATTTATTAGATTTAAGCGTCAATTTAAGAAGTTAAAAAAAAAAATACGAAATATTGCATATATTAAAAAACTTAAAACGTTCAAGTTAAAAAAATATAAATCAGTTTGGAATGATATAAATAGCAATTAAAAATTTTTTAAAAAATAAATTTGGCCTAAAAAAAGGCATACTGGAAAATATGTATATAATATTAAAGGTAATATATATAACGTTATTTTTTATTCTTATAATTTAAGTAGTTTATTTTAATATCTTACTTTTTAAAGATTAAACTTGCAAATTTTTTTATAATAATTTTCTTATAATTTTTAAAGTAAAATTAAAGAAATTTTATTTTTCATTATTTATTTAAAGCTGGCTAAAATTCCATTTTAAGTATTTCATGTGTAAAATAGATAAAATTCTTAAGAAAAAAGAAGTATACATTAAACAAGATTCTTTTTTTTTTTTCATTTTGAACAAATATTAACCATTCGTTTTAATAAAATATTGAAATATATACACATATAATATTTATTTATATTTAAAAATAATTTGAATAATCTAAAAAAAAAAATATTATTTTTTTCATTTTTAAATATAATCAATGCTTTTAAGACAACCTTTTTCTTTATCCTTTTATTTGTAAAATATATTAGTAATTTTTTGTTATAACCTTCTTACAATAATGAAAATAAAAAATTTCTGCCCTATATAATATTGTACTTATATTTAAAAATGATATATGAAGATTAAATTATTTTTCTTTTGTTAACAAGCATGTACTATTATTCTAATTAAAAAATATTCCATTATTCATTTCTTAATAATATAATAGTCATACCAATATCTTACTATAGTGTTTTTTTTTGTTAAATTCATTTTTTTTTTTTTTTTCATCTATAAGAAAAATGATCAGTAAAATTTTTTTGATTTAAATTAAACTATTATAAACTAAATTGAGTTCATAAAAATTAATGACTAAAATTAACTAAAAGTACAGTCTTTATTTATAAGTTATCTACATGCTAAAATTCTTTTTAAAAAAAAAAAAAAATTATTATAATATTGCATGAAGGCAGCATTGTTCATGATATTGTAAAATAAAATTTCATGGGTATCTTAACAAAGAAAAAAAAATTATGTTGAGGATGCTTAAAAATAATTTAAAATAAATGTGTAAAATTAATTAATAAAATGCAATATATATAAATAATATTAAATAATATCAATTACTATAAAGTCTCTTTATATGAATGTAGAACAAATTGAAATATTCTTAAAAAAGGATATATATGAATAGCATACTATATAGATATTCATGATAAAAGAAAACATAGTTTAAATAAAAAAATATTGTTAAAATACAATATATCAAATTAAACTTAAAAAAGAAGCTTAAAGAAATAAATCTATTAAATAATTTACATCCTTATATACATGGAGATAAGAAAAATTTGTGTAATTACGTAAAAAGCTCTGTTATTAATATTGTGAATTTGTTCACTATTTTGCTATGAGAAACATTATAATTTAATATTCCTATATATATATATTTATTTAAAATTATAAGTACTCTATATTAAAATTAGTAAAATTTTAAAATATATTTATTTTTTTTTTTTAGAAAATAAACAAATATTCCTTTTTGGTTTTATATGAAATGTTTCTTTACATAATTCGATGATTTATGTATAAAGTTTTTATAAGTATAAATATGTTTCATTTTATATTTTATAGATAAAAAAAAAAAAAAAAAAATATAATTTCTAATTAATTATATTTATTGTGTTTAATTGGGTGCAATGATAAATAATATTTTAACAAAAAAAAAAAAAAAAAAAAAAAAAAAATGTACAAATAGATATAAATAAAATCTCTTGTATGAGTTTTGTTTATGCTTAATTAATTTATACTCCAATATAAATGTCAGTAATATTTAAAAAAAAAAATAAAATAAATAGATATAAGTATGATACGTTTACAATTATATATATATAAATATATATAACGAATAAGTAATAATTATAATATATATATATATAAATATATATATATACGAATAAGAAATAAATAATAATTATAGTATATATATATATATATATATATAATATGAATTACGTATATAAAGATGGATCTATTTCATTAGGAATTGGCTGTATTTCTGTACCCAGTTCTATTTCAATTTTATATAAATTAAAACGATCTTCATATGTAATTAAATTAATAGCCAATCCTAAATGTCCGTATCTACCAGATCTACCAATTCTATGTAAATATGTTTCTGAATTTTTTGGAAAATCAAAATTAATTACAACGTTAACAGATTGTATATCAATACCTCTAGTAAAAAGATCGGAAGAAACTAAACATCTACAAGCCCCATTTCTAAAATCATGAAAAACTCTATTTCTGTGTGTTTGTGACATTCTAGCGTGGATATAAAAAGAGCTGTAACCTAATTCGGTGATTTTTTTTGCTAATAATTCTACTCTAGTTATACTATTACAAAAAATAATGGCTTGATTAATTTGCAATTTTGCAAATAAGGTATTTAAGCAGTGAACTTTTTGTCTTTCTTTAACAAAAGCATAATATTGAGTAATTCCTTTCAAAGTTAATTCATCCATTAAATTTATTTCATGAGCATCTGATAAATAGATGGCTCTAAATTCTTTTACTGTAACTGGAAAGGTAGCAGAATACATTAAAATTTGCTTCTCTTTAGGCAAAAATTTCATTAATTCTTCAACAATAGGTTGAAATTCAGGAGACAATAATTTATCTGCTTCATCCATTACCATAATATGACATCCTGATAAATTAGCCACATCCTTATTTGCTAAGTCTAATATACGACCAGGAGTACCACACAATATATGAACAACATTATATAATCTCATTATATCTTCTCTTAAAGATGTTCCACCTGTTGTCACCATGCATTGAACTTTCATATGTTTTCCCAACTCCTTTATCATTGCTGATGTCTGCAATGCTAATTCCCTTGTCGGTACAAGTATAAGTCCTGTAAATGGAAAAAAAAAAAAAAAAATAAATAATGTAATAATTGTGTAAATTTAAAGGAAATCATCTTTTTTTTTTTTTTTTTTTTCTTATATATTTTTGTAAATTACCTTGTATAAAATTTTTATGCGTATTGCATTTTTCTAATAAAGGAATAGCAAAAGCTGCTGTTTTCCCTGTTCCGTTTTTTGCTCTGGCTAAAATATTCTTACCAGCCAAAGCAACGGGAATACTTTCTTCTTGTATAGGTGATGGTTTTTCATAACCCTTTTCAAATATTCCCATTAAAAGTTCTCTTTTTAAAAAGTAATCCTCAAATTCATTTCCTTTTGTTTTTGTTACATCTTCTGTTTTATATCTTCGATCTTTTAGTGGCTCTAATACTCTTTTTTTCCAAGCTTCATCAAATATTACATTTTCATCTATTTTATTTAAACTATTGGAATTATTCATGGCATTTGAATTTGTAGCGGTACAGTTAGTTTGATAATTCATTTTGATATATATATATATATATAAAAAAATTAAATAAACATATAGGTATTAAAATATAAATACGAAATTGTAAATCAAATTGGAATAGTTTATCACATTTGATGATAAAAAAAAAAAAAAATAAAAATAAAATAAAGTAAGATGGAGTAGAATAAAGGAAAGGAGTAATAAAAAAAAATGAAAAAAGTTAAAAGAAAAAAAAATTTAAATGGAATAAGAAAAAAAAAAAAAAAAAAAATAGGAAAAAAGAAATAGGAAAAAAGAAAAAGGAAAAAAGAAATAGGAAAAAAGAAAAAGGAAAGAAGAAAAAAAAAAAAATATTAAACTAAATAATACATAAACCCCAAACAGGAAAAATTCACTAAATTAATAGAAAATATAAAGCTTAAAGATACAAAAAAAAATAAAAAAAAAAAAAAAAAAAAAAAAAAAAAAAAAAAAAAAAAAAAAAATGTATTATAGTAAAAAATTGTTAGTTCATATATTTTTTTTAAAATAAAATTATTAAATTTATCTCAAATAAAAATGAAAAAAAAAAAAAAAATAAATAAAATATATAAATCTTTAAACCTAAGAAATGAAAAAAATAAACAAAATATAATCATATATATATATATATATACATAAATTTAAGAAAAAAAAAAATACTATATAATAAGATTATAAAATTAAATAGTTTTAAATTTCACTTATCCAATGCAAAAACAATAATTTAAAAAAATAGAATACATATATATGTGCATATATATTTATGTAAATTTTTTTAAATTATAAACAAACATAAAACAAAAATATTTATTGTTGTAATAAAGAATATGATGTATCATTGTATATGATCTATCTTTCTGTAAACAAAAAAAAAAAAAAAAAAAAATAAAATAAAATAAAATAAAAAAAAGTTCTTTTACAAACTATTTTTTTTTACCAAAATATAATAAAAAAGGATACAAATAAAAAAAAAAAATATATATATATATAAATCTTAAAAAGAAGTAAAAAATTTACAATTAAAAAAAATATAAAATAGCGAACTACTAAAAAATTTGAAAAAGAATAACAAAAATTAATAAGAAAAAAAAGAAATAAAAATAAAATAAAACAAAGAATAAAGAAAAAAAATATAAATAGATGTATAAATGATCAAATATATATAAAAAAAAATTTGTACTTATAAAATAAATAATAGTTTTAATAATATTAATAATATTTATAATTATAATATATTAATATAAAAAATAAAAAAAACAAGGGTAATACAGAAAAAAGAATAATATAGTAGAAAAAATATATATATATATAAATATATATATATGTATATACGACAACATAATATGTATAATTAGAAATAAAATTTCTCAAAAAAAATAAATTTGGGGTGCGTATATAAACAGCTTCTTTGGAATTATTGATAAATAAAATTTATACAATATATATTTACAAAAAATTATTTATTTATAATTCATATAATAAAAGAATAAAAAAAATAAAATATTTATTTTGTAGTATATGCATATTTATATGCATATACATTTCATTTATAAAAATTTGAAATCGAGTTTATGCATAAAAAAGATTACATCCATGAAAGTTTATTTATATTAAAGCACAAATAAAATTATAAAAAAAAAAAAAAAAAATTAAAAAATCCTATAAATTAAAATTTTATTAAAACATATATATATATATGATTAATTAGTCATAAAAAATATTAATTTATTAATAATATATAGTTCATAGTACCTCAGAAAAAAAAAAAAAAAATTAAATTCATAAAGTACATTTATTTATTTTATATATATTTTTTTCTGAATATTGTATTCTTTAATAATATTGTTTCAATATTTGCTTATTACATTTTTAATTTATATTTTTTATTTTTAACTTTCTGTTTTTCTTCTTTTCTCTTTTAATTTGTTTTTTTTTTTTTTTTTTTTTTTTTTTTTTTTTTATTTTTTTTTTTTTTTTTTTTTTTTTTTTTTATTTATTTGATTTAGCTTATCTGTTAAGTAACTCTCGTTTTTGTTTATTAATTAAAAATATTCAGTTTTTTTTATATTCGTTTAAATTATAATAATTTTTAATTCTTCGCTAATATTTTTTAATTATCTAGTAATTTTTGTTACTTTTTTAACATATTTTTCTTCTTATATCATTACTTATTAAATTCTATTTATATTTTTATGTCATTAAAAAAAATTAAAACAAATATTTAAATGACACAATATATATATATATATATATATTATTTAATAAATAACTTCTTACAATATTAAAAAATATGAAAATTATAACAATATTTAAAAATAAATTCTTATTTGAAATAATCAATCATTTCACCATTATTTTTTTTTTTCAAAATTGTATGAGGATAATAAAAAATTAAAATAAAAAAAAAAAAAATGTGTAAAAAATTAAGTAAAAAAAAAAAAAATATAAATTAAATTAAATATAATTTTAAGTTCAAAACAATCCTTTAGAAAAAATGAGCATGATATATATTGAAGAAAATAATAAAATATATAAAATTATTTATACATGACAAAACATTATATGCATTAATATTAATTTAATCAAAATATAATAGCAATTTTATTTTACTTGTTAAATTTTAAATTAAATTTAAAGACTTAATTTTTTTTTTTTTTTTTTCATTTTATTATTTTATATTTTCTATTTTAATTCAAAGTATATACACAATGTAATATAATTATAAATAATTGCACTTCAGTAGGTCAGAAGTCATATATATCAATACTTTTTAAGAATGAAATTCAAATTAAATTTTTTTTTAGTTCATATATTTAGAATAATATTTTTTAGCAAATGATACAAATATTTACTAATATCTACTTATATATTTAAGTACTTTAAAAATGTGAATATTTGCTCAATTTTTATATATTACATAAAAGTGTCTTTTTAATTTTTATTCTAAAAAAAAAAAAAAAATAAGAAAAAAATTCATATGCACACATTGTTATTTTATTATATATATATACGAATAAAAAAAAAAAATAAGATGGTAAAATTATTATTTTTTATAAATTATATAAAACTATAAGGGGATAAACTGTGTAAAACTAAAATAACTTTTCATAAAAATTTATGTTTTTAAGAAATTATAGATATTTTCAATAAAACAAACGTATCAAATTTTTAATATATTTTGTCTAAGGATATGGTATAAAATTATTCTTTAAAAAATATCATATATATGTATATATATATTTTATTTATGTATTTTAAATAAAAAATATATATTTTTTTAAATGCTTTTTTTATTTTTCAACTTTGTGATTAAAATAATTTAATTATATGTAAAATATATTAATGACTTTTTTTAATTATAAACATTAAATTATATACTTATTCATTAAATTATATTTTAATAATTTAAGATATAAACTATATGAAAATGAAACATTATTTGTCAATTCATTTTGTTATAATTATTTATTAAATAACTTATGATAATTAAAAAAAAAAAAAAAAAAGACTTTAAATATCAGTATTTAGAATTTAGTAAATTCTTATTTGTATAACTATTACTAAATAACAGGATATTAGATTTAACATCTCTTCTGATATATTTTAAAAGGATATTTCTCTTAAATATGTTTTTAAAAATATTAATCTTAGAAAACAGCTTAAACGACTTTCATTAAAGAATATGTAAAAATTTTTTTTTTATTTTTATATGCTCACTTTGTATAAATTTCTTAATTCATTTATAAAAAAAAAGAATGATGAATTATTTAATTTTATGCATTGTAATTAAATATAAAATTTAACAATCTTAAAAAGAATCATAACAATTTTACCTAACATTCAAAAGATATATATATATATATATTATTATTTATTAGAAATATCCAAAGCATAATTTTTATAAAAGCACATAGGTTAACATTAACAATAATAATAATAAAACTACAAAAAATGTTGAAAGTATTGGAAAATAAGTTTTATGAAAAATAAAATATTTCTTTACTTTCATAAAGAAATTATTTTTTTATATTTCTTTTTAACATTTTTAATTATTCTATTTTTTTTATGAAGTAATTTCTATTAGTGTATATAGAAGCAAAAGCTAATTGTTTTTTTATTAATCTTTTATGAATAAGTATTATAAAAGAACAGGTATTTTCACTTTTGTCTTTTCATAAACATAATTTTTATATATTAGAGCATAAATATACTTAAAATATTTTCTTATAAAAAAAAAAAAAAAAAAAAAAAAAAAAAAATTAATTTAACAATATTAAGCATTCGTTTTTTTACACATGAATGTTTTTTAATAAAATATTCTACTTTTTTAATTTGGAAGTAAAAATGTATTTTTTGATAAGATATTATTTCACTGGAATTTATTTATTTATACTTTTGAGGTATTTTTTTTATTAAAGCACTTTCAAGTTAAATTTAAAGAAAAACTATAATAACAATGCTCTGATTATAATCAGATGAATAATAATATTTTACATTTATTATTCATATTATATTTATGTAATTTTCATGATATAAAATAAAAATCAACTAAATTTTAAAATGACCATTTTATAAAGAATAATAAGGAATTACTATTAATAAAAAAAGGAAAATATTAAAACATTTTATTATAAACATATTAAATGTCAATTCTCAAAATTTATTGATATTTTTTAGTTTTACACAATACATAAAATATTAACAATTATTTTTTTAAACTTATGTAGTAACTATAAAGTTTCATTCTATTTAAAAAATTAACATAATTATATATATAATTAATAATGAACATAAGATATTATTCAAAATAAAATTATGTACATTATTTTTTTTTTTCTTAAACAATTGTATTTTCTTTTAACATAAAAAAAAATTTTTAAATATCTTAATATCTTTACTTTTTTCAATTATTATTAAACTTAAAAAAAAAAAAAAAATAAAATAAAATAATCTTATTTTTTTCCATTTTTCAATTTGAAGTTTTTTTCTTGAATTAAGAGAAATTCCTTTAATATATTTTCCGCGTAATTTCTAATTAAATATCTAAAAATAAAATAAAATAATAATATATAAGTATAATACATATAAAATATATATAAAAAAAAGAAAACATAAAATCATGCATTTATTTGTAGGATATTTTTTAATATACCCATTTTCATTAAAAAGTTTTTTTAGATCAAAATGAGTTGAATGAACTTTCTTATTTGATGCAAAAACTGAAAAAAAAAAATAAAATTATTTTAAAAATAAAATTTATAATTTTTAAATATAATTATATTTTTATTTAACCCAAACTAAGAGAGCTTTTTTCTTTGTCTAATTTACAAGATAATTTTACTTCTGCATCCTATAAAAAAAAAAAAAAAATAATAAAATTAAATATATATAGATAAAACGAGATCATAAGTTTTCTTATTATGACACAGAGAAGGATGTTTTCTTATTAATTATTTTACATTATTTGTTTTTAATATCATAAAAGCATTCTCAAAATAAAAATATTCAAACATAAACAATACTACTGAAACTACGAAAAAAGCAATCTAAAATGAAAGAAAGAAATTAAAAAAATTTAAAAATAAAATTTTACTAAATAGAAATTATAAAAGAAGAAATAATACATGATTTATTCATAGATTCTTACTAATAATTTTATCATAAGAAGTGGATTTTTTTTGTACTGCACAAAAATAGAGCAATATGATCCTAAATAATTATAACAATAAAAATATTTTTTAAAAATTATAATTTTTTAATTAAAGAAGAATTTCATAAAAAAATTAATTTTTGCAATAATAACAAACATTATAATAAAATAGTTTTAATATTAAATTTATACCAATAAATATTAGTATTAAACTTAAGAGTATTCTTATATTAGAATAATGGACATTTTCCATATAATTTAATTCTCTAATTTTCTTAAATAAATAATAGAACAAATATATATATATATATATAACATAGTTAATTTTAAAAATATATAAATATACTTTTTTTTTATTATTAATATAAAAAAAAAATTTATATTTTTCAATTTAATTTAGTAAAACTTAAAAATATTTTATTTATACTTCACTTATGTAGTCTTGTGTAACTTTTTTAATCTCTTGCTCACTATATAAATTATTAACATGATCTATAAATAAAAATATAAGAAATATTTAAGAAAATAATTAATGGAGTTATGACAGTACTTATTTAAATAATTCAGCTTTCATAGGTATTTGGAGAATTGTTTTTCTTTCTTTATATTTATTTTTTTTTTTTACAAAATTATACATGTGTTTTCATTACTATCTGAAACTTTTTTGCTTGGCATTTTTTCTCACTTTTTTTTTGAATTCTTAGTAAATATTTTAACAAAAAAAAATACTCATATATGAAAAATAAAAATTCCACGTTCACAGATCCAGATAATATCAATCTTTATTTTTCCAATTTTTTCAAAAAAAAAAAAAAAAACAAAACAATGATATTTTATTATATATGAATCTTTTAACAAAAATTTATCGAAGTAATTTATATTTTGTTAATAAGAAAAATAAAATTGAAATTAGTATATAAAAAAGTATAGTAAGATATATCAAAATAAAAAAAAAAAAATTTAATTGATAAAAAGAGTTATTATTCTTAATACAATTTTTAAGAAATATATATAAAAATAAAATAATAATATAAACAATTTTTATAAAAGAATGATTTTCTAGAAAAAGTTACAAAATGATTTTAAAACTTTAATTAAAAAAAAAATTGATGAAAAATTTTTTTTTTTTTTTTTTTTTTTTTTTTTAAATTTCATTTATAAATAGGAAAAAAGAAAAGAAAAAAAAATGTCTTAATTTTAAAATTTAATTGCATAAAAAAAAGGAAATAAATGGAATAATAATATAAAAAACTATGATGGACTTTGAGCATTATTTCAATGAAATTAATCTTATTTACATTTGCATAAGATTATTTATTCTTTCGATTATAATTTTTTTATTTTAGTAAATATATATTTAATAAATAAATATACATTTTTTTTTTTGTTTTTTATTAAGATGAATTTTGATATTGCATTCGATGGAAATGAATACACCTACAGCGGATATTCAAAAAATTCACTTATAGAAGTAATATTATATTTTTAATGTATTTTTTACTCATATTTATCTATTGTATTTTTGTTTAAAATTATATACAGGATAAAAATTACACTTTAGACTATGATAAATATGTACATTTTGCGTTTTTTACATGTTTTTATATATCTCATATAAAAAAAAAACAATGCTCAGACACTGAACTTTTAGCTTGGTAAAAAGTTTAAAATTATAAACATTAAATTATATTAATTTTTTTTTTTTCATTATAATGTTAGTGTAATAATGTGTTTTATATACTTTATTTTATTTTTTTTTTTAACTTAATAGGTATTTAAAGAAGTTTAAACATATTGTTATAAATGTAATCGAAAAACTTACAAGCATATGTATTTTGTTTATTATAATTTTTTTTTTTTTTTTTTTTCAAGTCTACAAAAAAGGTTAGGAGAACTTATTTTAATTTAATAAATAATCTTATTCAAGACAAATGTGTTAAAGTATGAAGAAGACAAATTGGCAACAAAAATTTTTTTATATTTTTTATTATAAAAATTTATTTTTCTTACAAAGCATTTTTTTTTTTTTTTTTATATATTCATATATTTTTGTCTTATTATTATATTAGGCAATAATAGAAAATAATAAAAGATATTTAATACATAATGAAAATTTTATTTTATGGGCTTGGAAAAGGAGAGTTTTAAAATTTGATAAAGAACAATTCAATAGATTTCATTGAAACGCAACATTTTTTGTTTTTTTCTTTATTATATGTATGCACACTTTTGAATTTTTAAAATTTTTTATATGAATTAAAATATGATTTTATTCTTACTTGTAGAATAAATGTAAAAATTTTAAATAAATAAGATGTATTTTTTTACCAAACAGCTTTATAGAGAAATTATATGTTTATGTATTTTTATAAATAAATAAAAAAAATATAAAACAAGTAAACAGATAAATAAAAGACAATGTTATAAAATACAAATTATGCAAAATGTGCCTAGGCAAAAATATCATATGATTGTATGAACTTAATTCCTTTTTTTTTTAAATCATTTTTTTCTTCTTCTCTTTCATATAAATAAGCTGTCGCGTCTTCAATGATATATGTCTCATACCCACGTTTAAGGAAGCTTAGTGCTGTTTCTTTTACACAATATTCGAATATAAAGCCGCATATATAAACAGATGTTACATTTTTTTCTTTTAATATATTTATCAAATTTTCATTAACTTCTTCATTTTCAAAAATAGTGTAACTATCTTTATTTTCATCTTGAGCTTTTTTAACAATAATATCATTAAGATGTCTAATTAATTTTTCATGAACTTTACAACCACGCGTATTTTTTACGCAATGAACAGGCCATATATCTATTGTTTGATTTAAAAATTCTATTTTTTGAAATTCTTTGATATCATTTATTGAATTAACATTTTTATAAATTTCTTTTGTTTTTCTAATGCGTTTTATGTTTTTCCATACATCACTTAAATTATTAATATTGTTATTTTTTAAAAAATTATAATTTAAGTTATCTACAATATTTATACTTTCATTATCTTTTCCTTCCTGTATATTCTTATTATGAAATGATAATAATTTTTCATTAGTTTTATTTTCATTAATATATAAGTTATTATTACATATTTGTTCATAAATTATTTTATGTGTTTCCGCAAAAGAAATATGAAATTGTGGATGATAATCAACTGACAAAATAAATAGAGAAAAATTAAATAAGTTGCAATCTCCTTGTAATTTATCATATTTTTCTATAAATTTTTCATTTATGTTATCCCCATATTTATCTACATCACCATTATATGATTTTTTTTCATTTTTCCCTTCAAAATGAATATCAAAGTTTCCTTTTTTTTTACTATTCTCTTTATATCTTTTTTGTAATGTTCTATATCCATTTAAATTAATACTATTATTAAAAAAAGGAAAAATAAAAATTTTATCTAAACTTTTTTCATCATCTATTTCGCTGTGACATTTATAATATTCTTCAATATTCTTATCATGTGAAGATTCTTTGTTTTCCGTTAATTTCATACAGTCTTTTAAACTGATTAAATTTTCTTCATTACAATTGTACAATTTCAATCTTATTGAATTAATTTTATGTAGAACATCAAGATATTCAGTTTTGGAATTAAATGAACCTTGTGGTAAAAAGTCATTTTGTGCATCCACTATAAAAAAACATTTCATCTTTATTAATTTAAATACATAATAAAACTTTCCTACTTTTTTCTAAAGTAAATTTTTTTTTTTATACATAAACACAATTATTTTTGCCTACTTTATAAATACGATCTTACATAATGTAATATTATCATCTTTTTTTAAGCATAGGCATAAATATCTAAAATAAAATGTTTTATTAAACTTAAAATTTTCTATATTAAAAATACAAACGAATAAACAAATTTTTATATAAAAAATTTAAAATATCATTTCTGTAAATTTAATTTTGAAGCTCATTTATTAAAAAAAAATAAAAATTTTAATGCGGAACAAATTATAACTCATAAAAGTTAATATTTTTTTTTATTATTTATTATTCTGTTCATTTTTTTTTCTTAAACTTTTCTTTTGTTTTTATTTGTAAAATATAAATTAAAAATATTTAATTAAAATTCTTTAATCAATCATGAAAATTGAATCTTTATTATTTATTGCATTTTTTATTAAGAATTCACATACTTTTTTAATTATGTTATTAAAGAAAAAAATTTTCACAACTTTTCTATATAAAATATAAATAAATTATTCTTAAAAATTTATAAGTTTTCATTTTTTTCTCATATAAAAAAAAAACTTTATTTTTTCAGTTTTTCACCTTTTTTAAAAATCATAACTTGTTAACATTAGGAAATTGAATCATTTTTTCTAACATTTTGAAATATAATAAAAAAGTAAAAACATTTATCTTTAATTTTATAAGAAGGATTCATATATAAATTAAAAAATACAACATTATTAGAAAACAAAGCATAAATATATCTAGTTGAAATAAAAAATTTACTTATTGAATTTAAAAAAAGTATTTATAATTTGGAAATGCATATATTATTTTTAATATTTTTTTACACTTTTAATTATTATTCTAAAAAGTTTAGCTATTATTAGTTGTAGAGCAATAACTTCATTAAATTCTGTATCTTTCCCTTTTTAAATATTTTTAATGAGTTTCCAAATCTTAATTAAAATAGAGTAATAAAATCAATATAATTAAAATTATGAAAATCTTTATATTTGTTATTGGTTAAATTTTATTTTTTTGAATTCTTATGTAGTAAAGAAAAAAATAGTTCTTAGTATATATTTATGTATTTTATGAGATTAAGAAATATTAATAAATAATTTCATTTATTATTCAAATGATTCTTAATTTTTATTATTTAAATCATTTGTTGAAATATCCAATTATTTTTTTTTTTTTTAATTTATATTATACTATATTTTAAAAAAAAAAAAATGTATATACGAAATTAGAAAAAAATATATATGTATCAAAAAAAATTATTTAATATTTATAGAAGTATTGCAATAAAAGAAGTATATAATAGAACATTAAGATTATTGCAACTTAGAAATATTTTTAATATAATATAGTTTATATATTTCTTAATAAGTATAAATATTTACAAATCCTATTAATATTTATGATTAAAAAAATTTTGATCATGTTATATATTACAGAATGAAAATGTAACAATTAGGATAATATCATATATTTTTATACCTACAAGGATATTTATATAAATATTTATTAAATAAAAAATATAATAAAATAAAATAAAATAAAATAAAATAAAAGTATATTATATATTTTAAGGAAAGAAAATATATTTAAAAATTGTCCAGAGTAATATATGTAATAATAGAAACAATTTAAAAGTTTCTTAAAAGGGCATAATAAGTACAAGATTTAAATTTAAAAGAAAAAAATTTCATTACTTTACCTTATTCTTTGTACCAATATACTTCAAATGAATTTTTTTTTTTTTTTTTTTTTACTTTTATTTTAAAACATTTAGCGGAAAATAAGTTAAATAAGTATGAAATTAAATTTTAATAATATTAAAATTAAAGGTTTAATAAAAATATAAAAGTGCAGACTTACCATATATTTAAGTGTGAATATTTTTTACTTTGTATTATATTCATAATTTTTTTGTTACTCATTTTTATTTATAAATAATTCATTTTGTATTAAATATAATTCTTAAAATAGAAACAGTATAAATTATTTTTACGAGAATAACATAAAACCATGATATTAATTAAAATTAAGTGTATTTACAGAATAGTTCCAATTCATGTTATTCTATATTATTTACTCTTTTTTTAAATAATATTTTTTTATTACATAAAAAACATCATTATTTACTTATTTATTTATCTATTTTTTTTTTTTTTTTTTTTTCGCTATTTTTAGGATATATAATTTATTTTTAATACTTCTTTTTATTTTATTAAATTTAAAAAAATATATAAATATTATAATTTATATAACCAATAATTTTAAAAAAATATAAAATTTTATATATAAAATACTACATTCTTTTATAAAAAACTATTTAAAATTTAAAATGAAATTTCATTTGCATTTAGTTCTTCATGCTCTAATTATAATAATGTCTTTTGTTTAATAAGGAACTATCTTTTTCAGATGTATAATGAATATTTTTATAAAACTAAAATTTTTACTAAAATTTAAAGACAATGGTTTTCCAATAATTTAAAAAAATTATGTATTAATGTGACTGTAAAATTTTCTAAAGAATGATAGTTCATATGTAAATTTTTTATTCAAGATAACCTTAATGATCATATTTAGAATTATTTTAAAAAATTTTTATATGAAAAAAGTGATATCCACTGTTGATAAGGGTTTTTAAAAACAAATATTTTCTTTTTCTTTTTTTTTTTTTTTTAGTAAAACATATTAACTTATATATTTTAAATATAAAATTTACTTCTTTGATATTATAATAAATAATGTAAATATAATAATGTAATCTCTGAATGTGTAGTATCTAAAATATAGGAAAAGTGTTACGCATATTTTAATGAAGTAAACATTATAATAAAAATGTGTTACTACTTTAAAAAGCTAATTTCTAATAATTAAAAAAATTACAAATTTTTTTTTAAGATAATTCTCTTATTTTATATATTTTGGAATACTTGGTGTAATATAGGAATATCATTAAAACTAAAAAAAATTGAATTTTATGAAAAATTATTTCTTTTCAAATTGAAAGTTGAAAATTTTTTAACGAAAAATATATGAGATTAATAAAATTACTAATTTTTCTTATGCATGGATATGAATTTAATTATAATAAATATAAGCATTTAATTAATTAAAAAAATATATGCATGAAATTTTATATGTAAACTAAAGATTAATAAATTTATATATAATTGTTCCACAATGATGCATATAATTTATTCATATTCATCATTTATTAAAAAGGATAGTTAAAAAATTGATAATAATTTATTTACCTCAAGTAGTATCTGAATAATTCAATTTATTATTAATTTAATATATATAGAATATTCATGAAAATAAAAAAGAAAATACTTAACATTTTAAATTGTTGCTTTCTATTAAATATTTTGTTTATGAAAATATATGCAAACATAAAAACTTGAATAAATATTTAATAAAGAAAAGCAGAAAAATAAGTTTTTGCCATTTGGTTCATATATAGTATTATCGACTTATTTAAAATGATTCTTAAATAAATAAAATAAGTATTAATACTTTTGTTCGTGAATACTAATTATTCATAGAAATATAACGTTTAAATTCATAAACTAAAAATACATACACAAAAATTTTGTCCACGAAAAACAAAAATTGATATAAGGTATTTTTTTTTTGGGGGGGGGTTTATTATGTTTACTTAGAAAAGAAATTTTCTTAAAAAAAGAAATAATTTTTTTTTTTATGAAAGGTTAAAAATGTATATTAAATATTGCATTTATAGTGTATTGTGCAAATTAACTTAAATAATAAATAATAGAATTAATATTTATTATAAACAAAAATAAATAATTTATGTAATAATTGATTTTGTTTTAAATGAAAAGATTTTTTTTTACATGTTCTTTATTAATTTTATTATTCAATAATGGAAAAGTTATTAAAAGGAGAAATAATAAATCACTCTTGCAACCAAATCATTGTTGCCATAATGTCCCTTTTTTGATACAAAAAAAAAAAAAAAAAATATCAGAAATCTTTTTATAAATTATTTTCTTTTAGTGATATATGAGAAAGTATATATTTAAAAAAAAAATTAAGTTTTAATTTTTTTTCTAATTTTCATTAAAGAAAAAAAAATTCATTTACTGAATATTATATAATAATTGAATCTTATGTAATCCAATATAAAATTTCCTATGTAATATTCATAATTTCGATAAAAATAAATGTATCGACTAGGTTTCAATTGTTAAATAAAATAAAAAATTTGTTAAATAATCAAGCATTTTATTGTATGAAGGATTTTATTTAATAAAAAATATATAAAGGAAAATGATAAAAAGTAAAAATTGAATTCATATATAAACATATATATATAAAATATGACATGTATCTTAATTATGAAATTAAGTACTTCTGCATATTGATTCATTATAACTTTTATCTTTTTTCTTTTTCTCTACCTTCGAAGTCCGTTTCATTAAATACTCATAAATTATATTATGTATAAAAGAAACTTAAAAAAAAATTAATAAATATACAAGTAGAAAAAATAAGGAATCTTTTTTACTTTAGTTTTTAAAGATACAAATGAGTGTATCTTTAGTAGTATTTTCATTCCATGATTTTTTCTTTTTTAAGAAACCATTTTTCAATAATGTATTACATAAAAAACATTTATTACAAATTAAATATTTTTTTTCTTTAAAAATAAAATTCCATTATACATAATCTTGATATATAATTTATTATAAAAGTGAAAATTATAGAAGCATGAAAAGAGATACAATAAAGATTTTTTTAATGATTTAATAAAAAAAAAAATATTGAAAAAAAATTTTATGAAATAAAATTAATTTTTTATCATTTTCTGTTCAAAGAAAAAAAGGGTTTAAAAAAATTATTATAAAAAAGAAAAATATTGGCTAACTGAAAAAAAAAAAAAAAAAGTTAAAGGTGCAATAAAAAAAAATATATATTTTTGGCTATTTGGAGAAAAAAAAAAAAAAAATCAAGGGTGCATTAAAAAAAATACACTTTATTCTTAAGAAAAAATTTATTAAAGCAGAACAAAAAAGAAGTAAGTCAATTTTTCCCCATTATATATTAAAAAAAAACTACAAAAAAAAAAAAAAAAAATAATGAAGAATTTTGGCCCCATGAATATATATGTATTATTTTAAAAAAATATTAAAAGAAAATTGTTATTTTTTTTTTTACGAAAATTTCTTAAAAATTGTTATATGTTTTTAAATTTATATACATATGTATTTCAATTTTAATATTTTATAAATTATTTTTATATATATATTATTTTTTTTTAAATAAAATACAAAAAATAATGCGTATTCATTTTATTATTTTTAAAGAATAATGCATATTTTTAATTTGTATAATATTTTATTAGTATGCCTTATTGGCATTGTATATTCATCATGGCATGATGATTATGACATAGATCCTATCAAGAATGATACAAGTAAAAAATTTACAAAAAAAAAAATATCATCCAAAAAGAAAAGATACGCTTTAGATATAAGATCTTTTGGAGAGCAATGTGTTATTAAATATGAAGAAATATGTGAGACTGGAAATTATGATATTCATATAAAAAATGGAATAAAAGGTCATGCTGTTAAGGTAATGCTGGTTCAAAAAAACAAAAGTGACCTTGTTTCAGTACATAGTTTAAATGATCGTTTTTCTGATAGTGGATATGCTATATTCCATTTTAAGAATATTCCATCAATGCATTATAGTATAATATTAGAAGTATCAGATTTAATACATAATAGTGATTATGACATAGGAGAAGGATGCAATTGTATTAAATGCAATGACTACAAAAGGGAGATAGATTTAGAAAAAATTGAAGATAAGTTAATACATAAAATAAGAAGTGATACAAAAAACTTATTATTATATCCACAGAAATCATTTGTTAATGGAAAATATTTATTTGATAGATTTTTGCTCTTTCATGCAGAGAGAAACAAAAAAACCATAGAAGATTATGAAACTCTGTATAGAGATTATTATGAATTAGTATATCCATGCTCTGGTATTATGATGACTCATTCTGAAAAATACAATTTAAATTATGATTTAACTAGTGTGAAATGCTATTATGTACATCTAATGGACAAATTTTTAAAAAAAATAAATTCAAACAGTACATATATATTGAAATTTAAAACTCCAATATTACTAGAATTCGAACAAAATGCATCTAATGATGATATTAGAATTACTCCTAATTATACTATTTATCTTCCTTTAAAATATAAAGATAGTTTCTATGTTCCTAGAGGTACTGTTAATGGTAGTTTGGTAACAATTAACACTTATAATTACCTTTTTAGTAACAAATATATATACAAAAATAATAATTACAACAGAATGGAACATGTACATTTATTTAGAATATTTTTTAAATTATTCTCAAAACATAATAGTATTTCAAGTGAAGAAATGCTACAATACACCACTGGAATGACTTTGGAAAAACCTCCTACATACATGGACAAACCTTATAACATATATTCAGAAGAGTTAGCAGTTTTATTAAACTCTTTGAATTTCGAATTTAATGCAGATTTAATTGGTCTTAAAAAAAATGCTGTAATTTTAGATGAACGCGTATATACGTCACATTATAATTCAAACTCCTATGCATATATAGAAAATAATCAGTTGGTATTAAGAGAATCCTCAGAAATATGTTTAGTTACTTTGGGATATATTGCACAAGAACTCAGCGAATACATAAATAATAAATTAAGTGAAGAAAATAAAAGTAAATGTCATATTTTAAAAAACAGTGCCAGTTATGCTAACATATCAACTATGCATTTCACATATGAATTAGATTGCAACAGTACATTATATTATATGGAAAGTATAATAAACCAAGATGAGAATATTAAACCTTTTTTAAGTAATAAAACAATAATTGAAGATATTAGTGTGAAGTTATTATATGATGATATATTTTCATATTCTATACTCTTGTACGTCACAATTAATGAATATATTGTTGACATTATAAAAAAATATGCTCCAAAATATTTAAATGAGCAAACTGCTATTACACTCACAGTAGTTGGACGTAGAAGTGATGACATGGAAGAACAATTTGATCATGAATTAAAAAAAATCGTGTTTCCAATATATTGCGATAAAAATTGTTCTTCATATGAACCCATAATAATAAAAGATAATCTTGATTATATAGCTATAAATAAAATATGTATCGAAAATATGAGATTACCTTCTATTTGTCTTTCTGAATATTCTTTCTCATATATTTTTGATACTAGATTATTAAGAGTATATACCTTAAATTTAAATCCTTATCCTGAAACTGTACTTACTTTAGGAGTACATACTGCTATAACTGAAGAATATTATTGTGTTTTAATGAGACAACCAAATATTATACCAAATAACAATATTCCCAATGTGTATATTGATAATGTTTGTAAAGAGTTAATTAATCGTTGTGATCTTTTAACGACTAAAGTTTTTGTTGAAAATGTTACTGCATCTTCCAATATAAAAAATATTTACAGTCATTCAAAACTCTCATTTTTAACTGGTTTTCATGAAAAACATGAAGAAATGCTTCAAATTACATACTCCACGGAAAATACTAATATTAAAAAAAAGCATCTCTTAACGCATTACAGCGACGGTTTTTACACTAATATGCATGATAACAAAATTAGTTTAGAACGTGAAAAAGAACGTTTTAAGAGATCATTACAAACACAAAATTATTATGATGAAGGCGATGATTATTATAATGATGATTTACAAGTAGAAGAAAACCAATATAATATTGAGATATTTAATGATTTAGATTTATATGATGAAAAACCTACTCACATACAAACCTCAAAAAATAATGATATTTCTTTGTATCCATTTGGTCAAATTTCTGTTAATTATAATCATCTAAAAAAAAACATGTATATGAAATTTTTAAATGATCATATTTATTTTTATGAAAAAGAAGAAACAAATAGTGATATATCACCATATTTCATAAATGTTTCTCCATATAATTATGAATGCTTAGGTGCATACGCTTACTTGATCAATAAGTTTAATATATTAGTAAATAATTCATTAAATTGTGAAGCAGTAAATATGATTGTAGAGGTTTTATTAAAAGGGAATTTAGGAAAATATTTTATACAAAGCAAAAATAAAATACATTTAAATTTTTTTAAACGTCATAAAGATTCATATGACGTTTTTGATCTTGTTGATGTTGAAATTTATGCACCTAACACACCACAGGTTCCTATTAATAAATACACACTTAACGTTAGTATTGATGAAATTAATCAAAATTTACTATATTTACACAAAAATATTGAATATACAAATAAATACTTTTCAAATGTATATATTATGATGTTTAAGATAGCATATCTGTTTAGTGATTATGATTTCCATACATTCTTTAATGATTTAACAGGAATAATTTTAGTTGACACAGTTATTTTACAGAATTTAAGTAAATTACAACCAAGTGATAAGATAAATATACAAAATATAGAAAATATACTGAAAGATGAATATGAAATTTTCATTGAAAAACACACTCAACCTTCTGATAAAATAATAAACGAAATTTCTTTATTAGCAGCCTATATTGTAGAATTAAGATCATCTTACAAAAAATATGCATTTAATACAGATATAATATCATTTGCTGATATAAAATATTTTGTTTATGTTGATGAATTTAAATATAAAAATATAAAACATACAATTAATGAAATGGTTTACAAATTATCAAAATATAATGCTCTGGTAATTAAAAAAAAAGCATTATGTTGTTCTAATTTTGTTAATGAAGTTGAACAATCTCTAAAGTATTATATTTTATATAAATACATCGTTACTGATAGATTTGTACAAGAATCAGAAGCACATATTATTCAAAAAAGCCACAGTATAATACAGAAACTGTTGGAACGCCCAATCTCTTCTAGTGATATTCATACACAGGATGAAAATGAATTAAATTATATTATTAATTTAATTATGAATGAATCTGGATACATTCATAGAAAAAACCCCTCATTATATATAGATATGGAATGTGTTAATTTAGACATAATAGATCATTATGAAAATATTATAAAAGAGTTTAGAACTTTCATTGATTCTAACGGAGTACGTGTCGATATGTTAATGAGTGATTCATTACCAGACAATAGTATTACATTAAAAGAAGATATGGATTATCATATATACTTTTTATTTAGAAATTTATCTATGCCATTTATAGGAAAAACAAATAAAAAAGAAACATTAGGATTAAGAAGATTTTTATTAACAAGTGGTACATTCTATAGAAGTAAAAATGGAAATATTTTAAGTTGTTACTTAGACATTGTAAATAAAGACTCAATTTTCATGTTAGAAAAAATAATTTTTGTATCAAAATCAAAAGACAGATTAGTAAAAGAGATAAATGTTGAATATCAAACATTTTTTGTACATCCATTTAATTTACTTTCAGATGATTTTTCTCTTGATAAAAATAATCTAATTAAATATTATTTTGAGAGTGCATTAAAATGCTATCATTATAACGACGGATTACAAAACTGTGAGTATCCTCCTTATTCTTATGATGGCTTTACTCCATATTATGTATCATATTTTGAAAATAACCAAAAAAAAGAAATATTATTCAGTGATGATGAGAACATTGCAAAAGCACTTAATAATTTTCCATTATTTTTATCACATAGATACAAACTACCATTAAATGGAGAAAAAATGTCTAGTCATATTTATAGTATTATTAGAGATATCCTACAAGAAATAACATCGTCAATGGGAATTTATGATTTTAGTAAAAAGAATTGTGATGTTTTACATTTGAATAACAACCAATTAAATTTAGAAAATGATAAAAATTCACTTATTTCCAATATATTATTTGATAATAAGTATTGCATAAATAGAAGCGCTATTTTTAATAAAGTACTAAAAATTTGCACTTTTAATAAAGAGGAACTAGTGAGTTTATTTGGTAGTATGACAAGTAATATTTTACCATATAGATTAAATGAAAACTTTTCAAATTTATTAACACTCGAAGAACTATTGAATTTAATATTTTACTTTACTTCATCACCACCACAAATGCTTTCTGATATAAAAGCTATTTCATTATATTTAGAGATTTCCGAATTGAATGATTCCTCTGATAAAAAAGTAATTGTTGAAAAAGACTCTATTAAAATTAATAAAAAATTACTAAATTATGTTGATAAAAACTCTTTAGTTTTATTTAATACATTATTGTATGAACAATTATTCAAATTTATATCTGATGTTAATGATAATAAAAAGTATATATTAAGTGAATCAGAAAAAACAAAGAAATCTATTCCTGAAACTATTAATTATCATATGGATAGATATATTAATAACATGGCATGTGATAATTCAATTTTTACAAATGCGGGATCAATATTAAAAGCAGATGGATCACCATCTCATCATTATCCAAGTTTCACATATACGGATAATGATATATACGTAAAACAACAAACAGATGAGAGTTTCGCATTTAATAATTTATTCATATTTAAAGGAATGAGTCAATCGAAAGGAGAGTATATAAAAGCTATAATTGTACTTTCTTTATTTAAATTTAATTCACTTAAATTAATTGAAAATATAGAATTAATTGGTAATTCGTGGTATAATAATAATCAAATTACCATGAAATGTTATGCAGACAAAAATTATAAAAATGACTTCATAGAAAGTTATAATTTAGAAAAAAATTCAGTATATTTCGTTTGTGATAATGTATATACTAAGTATCATAAAAGTGATGTATATGAATTTAATAAATTTTTAATTAGTTTTGGAAATGATGGAAATATTACAAGACATATGTATCAAGATATGCCTATTAGACCTCTTTATAAAATAGCGAACAAACCATTAATGACTCCATTAGAAGAACCATCTATAAAAATACAGCTTATAAATGATAATTTAGATACAAGTCATATTATGTATTCTGTTAACGTAAATGGAAATATTTTATTAGACAAAGATCCATATGCTGTAATTAAGCCAATTTTTACTTCAGATTCATATTTGTATAACACAAGTATCAGTATTTATGATGACTATGTTACTTATAAATATCCCAGAAAACCAAAATATTCAGAATTCTTAGATCTCCCTATTAGCAAAAATATATTTAAAGGTGATTCACTAAATATGTCAGTAGGAAATATAAATGAAACAAATAATAAAATTGATAATGTTTACGTTTTAAAGATGGTTAAAAGTTTTAATCTATTAAGTTTAATTATAAGGGATATGTTTAATAACGAATATGTTGCTGATTTGACAAAAATGCAAGTAATGAATATTGATCATGCCATATCTCATTCTGAGGATGAATATGAAGATCACTTTATGCAACCACATAAAAATATAGATAATAATGAAACGGAAGAAACTAATATTCCACAGGAAGAAATTGAAGTTGAAGAAGTAAATCATACAACAAAAGAAGATGAAAAAACAAAACATTTAGATAATATGGTACCTTTGTTTAGGATGGCATATCTATTCAGAATAGAAAATATAGATATAAGTATAATATCTGAGTCTGAAAAGCTATCTTATTTTAAAGTAACAGCTGATTCAGGCTTAAACGAAGATGTTGTAGATTTATCAATTGATGAAGATAGCCATAAAATAAAATCAATAAGGCATCGCTCAATAGACTCAAATTTATTAGATAACATATTTGAAAAAATGAATGATAAAAAAAAATTTCAAATAGGAAATTATGTGATAAAAATTTTTAGTATTAATTTTTATACAATTATGGTTCCCATAGGAAAAGAAAAAGAAGTAACAGTAGAATATATTGATGGAGATGAAGTAGAAAAAATTAATAAAATAATTGAAGATAATAATAAACAAAAAAATTTGGGAAATTCTAGTTCAAATATATCAAAACTAGGAATATCAGAACCAGAAAAATTAAAGCCAGAAATAAATGAAAATTTAGATAGTCAAGATGAAAACGCAACTTTTTTTAGAAGTTTATATTATCCGATAAGTGTTAAAAGGTTAGATGATAATTCATTCAATATGGGAGTAATTTTATATACAGGATCAGTTTCCGAAAATAAATATAATATACAAGTTAAAAATGGAGAATATAGCGGAACATGCATAAGTGGAAAGTGTAATTTGAACTCAAAGGATCTTAAAGAATTTATGAATGTAGTTTCTAAACAAATTATGGATGGAACGTATGAATTAAACATTAAAAAGCACATAAAAATAGATAACCAGAGAGATCAAGAACCATTAGGAAATCTTGATATTCCTATTATTCTTAATCGAAATAATAAAATAAATACAAATATGGATAAAAACTGGATTAAAATTAATATAAGTGGTTCAACTTTTTTCGAGAATAAACGATTTACAGAAACGTTTACGTTAGAAGGATATAATATAAAAAAAGGATTATTTGAAATATTTTCTACAGGAGAAAAATATATAATGAGACAAAATTTAGATAAAAATGAAAGTTTGACATTAGGCGAACTTAAAGAAATAATACTAATAATTGGATATGAACTACCACGAGGTGAGTATACAATATATATTGAAAAAATTGATACTGAATCTTATATATATAATGATATAAATCAATATAATGATAATAGAGACAATGTAAATAGAAATGTAGTTAAAGAAGATATTGTTTCTTTTAGATCCACTGTAAAAATATTAGATGATGGAAACCATAAAGGTTATTCTTTAAAAAAAATAGTAGAAGGGAATGATAAGGATATGCAAACGGGAGAATATTTTGTACAAGTTAATAATGAAATATATAATACAACATCTATAAAAGGTCCACCTATAAGTGAAGAAAAAATGAAATCAATTATTCAAAATGCATGGAACTCGAAGGATAGTATACTAATTTCTTATTATGTGGAAATTTTTAATGGTGAAGATATACTTAAAAATTGTATAGATAAAAATGAACAAGAGTATTTTCTTATTATAAATACTTTAAGTGATAAAGAAGACACAATTCATAATACGGAAAATATAAAATTTTTTGGAAAAAATATAGAAAATGGAGACTACCATGTAGATGTTTTCGATAATACATACACTTCTAAACCAGTATCAGGGCCTCCTTTGAATTCTAAAATTATTGAAGAATTAATGGCATTATCATATAAAAAAGCTAATGGTAAATTTTTTATAAGTATCAGGAAAAAAGATAATATATGTAATACAATTAGAGAAAAAGAGAAAACAATTACGGCAAGATGCGTAGGTGATCAAACAGGAAATAATTATGTTTATAAATTAGATGATCATGAAATGATAGAAAATTTAGATGTAGGTCTATATCAAATAAGTATATCTCAAGATGGAAAATGCAATATTGAGGGAATACACCATAATGATACGGAAGAAAAGGTATGCAAAATATTTAATGATTTACGAAATAAATTATCATGTGATAATTATCAAATTCAAGTTGAGACTAAAATTAAGGAAGAAGTTTATATTCCTTATAGTAACTTTAAAGAAACAATCCCAATTTATATTAGTCCAAGTCATAATTCTTATAATACAAACTTACCATCTCATATAAAATCACAAACATATTCAAATCCAACTGAATATAAAGACAAGGATAGTAACAGAACTACGGCATACTATCAAGCACAAAATAATGGAAGTAGTATAAAAACAACTCTTTGTTCATCTCCAGTTAGCTCTAGCTGTAAGAACAATTTACGAAATAGTAAATAAATGTCATAAATAAAACTAAAATAAAATTATATTTTATTAAAGATACTAGTTATTACGTTAATAAAGATAATTCAAGACTTACATAAATTATATATCCTTAATTAAGAAAAAAAAAAAAAAAAAACTTTACATAATTGAAAACTTTCATTTTTTTTTTATAAAATGTTACATTACAGTTGATATGTTTATCAATACTTTAAGTCTTTTAATTTTAACACTACAGATAGTGCTTTTAATTTTTTTTAAATTTTATAAAAATTTACATATTTGCATATTAGTAAACTTTATGCAAATGATTTTTTTTTTTATATATTAATATTATATGTTCTAAATTTTTTAAAAGGAATCTATAAATAAAAAAATTTTTATCCTTTTTTTTAAATATGCAAAATTAAATAATTCAACCACATTTTTAACTTTTATATATATATATATAGATGTTAACATTTTAAAAACAAATTTTTTTAATGAGAATATTGAATAAACTATCTTACATATTATTTTAAATAAGAACCTTATATAAATATTTAAAGAAAAATTTTTTTTTTTTATTTAATCATTAATTGAATATTTTTTATTCTTAAAAAAATTATATATGAGAGATTTTGGTGATACATTATTTATTATTAAAACAATTAGATATGTTCTAATTATTTAAAATAACAGGTAAATACATTTATTACAATTTAAGTAATAAAATAAAGAAGAAAAAAAAATAAAAAATATAATTTTTTAAATAATTTTAAAAGTTAAATATAAAAAATTTTAGTTTCATTTTTCAAAACAATATTTTTTTTAATTTTCTTTCTGACAATAGAAAACTGTAATTTTTTTAAATAGATTAATAAAGATTCATTCACCCTTTTTATACAATAAGAAAAAATTAAAGAAATACTAAAAAAATTATAATTATTCTTTTTGAAAAATTTATTTTTTTTCACACTTTATAGTATTTATAAAATGATAGTAGCATTTATGTTATGTTTAAAAAATAACATAAACTTCAAAAATGTGTAATGTTTAAGATAATTTCGTACTTTTATTAATATATTATTTCTTTTCTTCTTTTTTCGTTATTTTTTTTTACAAATATATTCATGTATAAAAATATCATTTAATTAATATATATATGAGTTTCACATATAAATAATTAGGTTGTATAAAATAATTTTTTTTTTGGTAATGAAATGAAAAATAAAAAATAATATAATTCATTAAAGAAATTTTATTTAAAAATTATAAAATAATTAATCTATCTCAAATGTATTTAAAAATTTCAATAATAAAAATAAAAAAAAAGATAGAATATTCTAATGCTATATAAAGACAATTATATATATGTGCTATAAAAAAGAATAATGAAAATCTTAATGTAAAATGAGAAGATAATTATACATATTTTTATAAAGGTAAAATACATTTTAAAGAATATATTAATTAAAATCATTTGGCGCAATTACATCATCAATTTTTAATATCATTTTAACAACCTGAGTAGCTAAAGAGAATTGATTATACTTGGAATTAAATGTCTCAAAAATTCCTTTTTCTATCATATCATCAACCTTGTAATTTAAACTATCAATACCTAAATTTATTTTTTTTTCTTGAATGATTTTGTTCTTAATTTCAGAAATAATATCAATGCTATTTAGTCCCATATTATTGCATAAATTTATTGGTATAGATAATAGTGCATTTCCAAAGGCTCTAATAGCATATTGTTCGATACCTTTACATTTATCAGCAACATTTTCTATTTCTAATGCAGCATAAATTTCGGTTGATCCTCCACCAGGCAAAATTCTATTATCTCTTATTAAATTACGAACAGAGCATAGAGCATCATGTACACTTCTTTCACATTCTTCAATCATCATTTGATTCCCTCCTTTTAAAAGAATAGTAATAGCTTTTGTATTAGAGCATCCTTCAATATAAATCATAGGATTATTAACAGTTCCATGCGTAATTTCTCTTATTAAATCAGCTTTACCTAACTTTGATTCATCAATATCTTCAAATCGTGGTATAATTTTTCCACCAGTTGCAATGGCAATTAATTCCATTTCAACTCCTCCTACCCACCTAATTGCTGGAATATTTTCTTTTAATAATAAGTAATTAGCTTCATCATCAAAACCCCATTGACATATAACAAAATTTGCACCTGCCTTTTTTAAAGAATCAACCATATCATAAAAATATTTTTTTTCTATTGTCTGTAGATCTCTATATGCTTCAACATTTGTTATATTTAATTTATGCTTTATTTTTGGTTTAGGAGGTTCGAAAGGACAAGTTAAAATTGCTATTTTTGCATTTCTAATTTCTTTACACATTTGAGAATGAGATAATTCTTTATTTAATACAATACCTTTTATTAAAGTTGACTCTTCTAATAACCCACCCGTTTTTCCTTCTATTTTTATTAAATCAAATCGAACATCTTTCCTTTTCATATCCGCTACCGAAAGAACAGCATCAACTACAATATTAGATAGTAAATCTTTTTTACTTGATACAATTTTTGAGCTTAGTGATGTACTGGCGACCTTTTTTAAAATTTCATGATTGTTTTCTTCAATATTAACACTAATTGCTATATCTTCTATTACTTTTAACGCTATGTTACAAGCATTCTCAAATCCATCAGCAATTCTTAAAGGATGTATTCCTTTATCAATTAATGCATAAGCTTCTTCTAATAAAGCACCCGCTATTATAACTACTCCTGTTGTTCCATCTCCAATTTCATTATCTTGACTTTTTGATAATTCTACCAATAATTTTGCACATTCATGTTGTACATCTATTTTTTCTAAAATTGTTGCCCCATCATTTGTTACAGTAACATTATTATCTTCACTAACAATTATTTTATCCATTCCTCTTGGTCCTATAGAACTTTTTAATATATCAGATACTACCTTTGCTGCTAATATGTTGCTTTTATGGGCTTCAATTCCTTTTATCCTTTTTTTTTCTTCTTCTTTTAATATAACAAATGGTTGCCCATATTCATCTATTGCAATATTCATTTTGTTTATAATAAGATGTAGTATTTATACAAAAAAAAAAAAAAAAAAAAAAAAAATTTACACTATTATATATTTTAGCCAATTTTTATAAGTATTTTTTAAAAAACTCTAATGATTTTTAAAATTGATAAACTCTTTTAAATTTTTTTTCCCATAAATATTCTTTTCAAGTTTTTAATTAATATTACACAAAAATTTTTTAAAATATTTTATATTCTCGTAAAATTATATATTAATTTTTATGTAATTTTATATATATATATATATATATTTAAGAATAAATTAATTCTGTAAAATAAATTTATAAAATTATGTATAATATTTTTTTTCTATATTTCATATATTTTAAAATTTTTTTTTTGCAATTTTTTATTATAAAAAAAAGTTCATTTAACTACAGTTCTAGGGAAAATAATGAAGTGATTATTTTTTTTTTTTTTTTTTTTTCGGGAACATATCATATGTAAAAAAAATTTTGTTCATTCAATTTTTGAATTTTATAAATTTAAGCAAAAAAAAATATTACAAACAATTTAAATATTTTTTAAAATTATACATAAGAGAAAAATGTAAGTTTTATTTTTTAACATTTATTATTATTCCTATAATACGTATTATTTTTTATAGTAAATATCATTACTTATGGATTAATTAACTGATGAAGACTATCATTTTGAAGTTATATAAAAAAAAAAATGTAAAATTTTTTTTTTAACAAAATTTTTCTTTTAATTCTTTAGTATGAATGTATAATTATAAAAGGAAATAATTTAAAATTAATTTTAAATCTTATTTAAAAAAAGAAAATATATTAGGTATTTAAATGCATACAATGATTTCTTATATAAAATATTGTCCTAAAAAAAAAAAATTTTCATTTAATTTAATTCTATTATATATCTTCTTATTTTTGACTTTATTTTAGAAGTGTTTGTTTTTATATTTTTATTAAAAATAAAACATTAAATTATTAAAAAGAAAAAAAAAAAAAAAAAAAAAAAAAACAATATGAAGAAAAAATATGGTTTCTAACTTTTTTATGTATAAATATATAATTTAAAAGACTTTATATATAGAGAGAAAAAAAATATATATTTTAGATAATATATGATTTGATTTTTTTTTTTTTTTTTAGTTCGTTAATAATAATTTTTTTTTTTAAATTTTATCAATAGTTAATCTTTTAAGTATTGACAATTTTTCCTGTTGCATTATCAACAGGACCGTTTATAATAGATACATAATCTTCTTCTGACATATTGTTATAAATTAATTTTTTTAATAAAATTTCATAATTTGAACATGGCCAAAAAACATGGCATTTTTTACCAATTTCTATTTTTTCATTTTCATTCATATTTTTTTTCATTAATTTGTCGCAGTTGTATTTATAAGAATTTGGTGCTAAGCAATAACTCAAGGTTTCCTTCCATCCAATAGGGCAATTATAAGAATAATCTCTTTTGCATTTTTCTAAGCAACGATAAGATACATTACACAATTTTTCAAATTGTTTTTTTTCTTCTATATTTCTATTTTTAAAAATGTAATTTTCTTTACAATTTCCGTTATAGTATTCTGATGGTGCACACTCTTTTTCGTTTACTGATAACCATAAGTTTGGGCATAAATCATCATAATTTTTTTCACAAGAATTAAAACAAGGATAATTAAATTGGCATTTTTGTTCATATGCTTGCTTCATTATTTTATCTAAATGCTTTAAATATATTTTTTTTTTACAGTTTCCTTTATACCCATTTGTTGCTATACAATATTCATTATTTCCTTCAATCCATCCATCAGGACACAAAACAGAATAATCATGTTCGCATTTTTCTTTGCATGGCCATCTAATATCACATAAATTTGAATATATCATTTTTTCTTTATTACTCATACTTGAAAATTTTATCTTATTTAAACATGTGCCAACATAATGTTCAGGTGCTTTGCAATATTCATCATTAATTTTTATCCAATCTAGTGGACATAAATAATTTTCGAAGTCTTGATGATCACAGTTATGATCACATTGCCAAAATATCAAACATTTTTTTTCTAACATTTTTTTTTCACTTATATCAATGTCATTTCTTATTTTTTTTTCACATGGTCCTATATAAGAATCGGGAGCATTGCAAAATTTATTATCATCTTTACTTACTATCCAATTTAGAGGGCATTTTTCTCTATAATTACGTAAACAATTTTTTATTTCAGATAATGACTCATTCAAAATTTCATTAGGTACTATTATTTTGCTAGACAATCCTAGTTGTGATTTTATTTCTTCATTTTTTTTTTTTTTTAATGAATCACTATCCACATTCATCTGATGATTTTTTTTTTTTTCTTCTTCATTTTGCTTTGTTTCGTCTTCTATTTTTTTTTGTGAACATAATTTTTTTAATTCCTCTTTTATTTTTATACTTTCATTATCTGTTTTATCTTTAAATTCCTTTTCAATTACATTCATACATTTTTCATATTCATTCATTATATTCTCTCTCTCTATAATAGTATTCTCTCTTTTCATATCAACATTCTTTTCTCTTTTTTCTTCTTTTTTAATATCGACATCAAATCTTCTTTTTAAAGAATTGTAATCATATTTATTTATTTTTTTCTCATTTCTTCCAGTTATCTTATTTTTTTTATTTCCATTTAATGATTTTAAACAGCTTAAACATTTTAAAAAATTAATACAAACAAAAATGTAAAATATGAAAACTTTCATAATAAATATAACACGATTTAAAAAAAAAAAAAATACACAAATGATATTTATATTTATATTTAATAAATACATAAATATTTAAATATATTGACATTGGAGAAATGTAAAAATAACCTAACTTATGCTGCTCAGATTATGTGAACAACAAAAACAAAATAATATAAAATAAATAGTAATTGAGAATAAAAAGACAACCACAAAAATTGTTATGAAATATATTTATATAATATATGTAAATATATTTTAAAATACCTTTTTATTTTTTCTCATAAATGATTTATATAATATATATGTATTTACACAGAAAAAAAAAAAAAAAAAAAAAATATAAATAAATACATAAATATATATAATTGTTTTATATATATATTATTTATTCTAAAACTAAAATATTTACAATTATAGTAATAAAAAAATAAAAATATTTAAATAAGATAGACCTAATATATTCAAAATAATAGAAAAAGCTATTTAATTTTGTCAAGATGAGGTGATTATATATAGTTACTTCATGATTATTAACTAAAAGTGTAATATAAAAAAAATAAAAAAGCTTTTTGTAATAAAAATTTAATATCACTTATTTTTAAAATAATTATATAAAAATATTAATGGAATATATTAAATATTTATAATTTTCTTTATTATGTTACAAAAAATCATTATTATTTATTTATAATAGAAGTGTTATCATTAATTTTCTTATATTTTTCAATTATATGAATATATAAAAATGTATTTTAATACAAAAAATATAAAAAAAAAATTATATATATAAATATGTTGAAATAATATTAAAAATAAATTTTAAAAATAATTATTAATAAAAAAAAAATAAGTATTGCAAACAATATCCCATATTGATATAAACTATGTTTAAGGCTTAAAACTCTAGACACTTTTTTAAACTACAAATGAAATTAAAAATAAAAGTGAAATAATTATGGTTATTTTAATTGAAAAATAAATAATATTATTCTAAGAAAATTCTAACCTTCTCAGATTCATACTTTAAGTTAAATGCTTTTCTTCCAACGTCTAAAAAATATATAAATATATATATATATATATATATATATATATATATTTAATTATTAAAAAGTTAAAAGGAACAAAGATATATAAATAATATATATTTTCTATACCTTCCAAATTTTCTCCTCTTTGTAATATTTCATCTATATTTTTTTTCATAATATAACTAACTTCATTCAAACTCTCATTTAATTTTTTTATAGCTATATTAGAACGTGGATCTTTATATTCTTGTTTTATTTTGGTAATTTTTCTGTCTTAATAAAGGTAAAAAATTAGAACATACGTATAAATAAATTTACATTTATATTTATTTTTTTTTTTAAATAAATTTACCAAATTTTATAAACGAATATGGTTTTTCTATAGTTTCTATAATTGATCTATAATCTATTGAATGAGTGCCATATTGAATCATTAGTTCTATAAGTAGATTGAAAAAAAAAAATAAAAGATTTAATATTATATAAAATGTATTGTAATATATATACAAAAAAACAATAAAATGTATTAAATTGGAATAATTTAATAGATAAAAAAAAAAAAAAAAAAAATATAAATAAATTGTAAATTTTTCTAAAAAAATAAGAAAAACAAATTGTTTATTAATTAGTATAATTATAACCTTCATTAAATTGTTTACAAATGTCGTTCAAAAATAAAAAAGCTAATTTTTTAGGATATGTAATAGGAAAAACAGCTATATATGCTATTCCATTTTCAATAAGAAAACTAAAAAACGTTAGGAAATATAATAAAAAATATAAAAAATTAATTTTTATTATTGTAAAAGTATATTATCTTATAAATTATTTAAAAAAAAAAAAAAAAAAAAAAAATATAAATGATTTAAGAATATTCTATTTTAAAAATAAACTTTTCTCAAAATATGTTATATAGGAATAAGTAACATTTATTTCATTATTTCATATTTGACGTATTAAAAAAAAAAGGATGAAAATAAAAAATACCATATACACAAATATTATTTTTATTTTATTTTTCTTTACTGATAATTAAACTGATTAGATGTAATCGTACACAAATTTGGAAATGATTCCAATTTTTTACATAATTTTTTTAATTCTAATTTATGTGATAAATTTTTTGTCTCACTATTTGTTTCAACCAACGTCATTCCATCGCTAACTCTACACAGTAGTACCACATCACACATTTTTTTTTTTATTAAAATAGAAGTAAATATATTTTATAAATTTTATATATTTACAATATATGTACTAACATTTAAAAAATAAAACAAAAAAAAAAAAAAAAAAAAAGATATGAAAATAATCAAATATATTATATTTGATATGTTTTGCATAATCTATTAAAAAAAATATATATAATCTAGTATATATCTAATATATTTTCTTTTTTCTTTAAATTTTATATAGATAAATATAAAGTTAAAACATATGAAAAAATAAAATAAAAAAGAATTATAGATTAAAATTATTTTTAAAAGATTAAAAAGAAATAATTTGAGCTAATATTTATTCTTATTAATAACTATTTAAATATCTTTTAATGTGTAGGAATTTAAAAAGAAAAAAAAAAAAAAAATGAACAAAAAAAAAAAAAAAATTATCTTGTTAAGAATTGATAAGCTTTATTTTTTCATTTTTTTATTATTTTAATTTAAAAGTTTTATCATTATTTTTATTAATCACGAAATTTGTTTTTCCATAATTTAAATATAAAACTTTAAAGATGTTAATTTTTTTTTTTTTTTTAAGTATTTTAATTAAAAAACTAAGTATCGTTATGCATTATTGAAAGTTAATTTTTATATTATTCAACCATATATGTTAAAAATATATGAAGAAATAATTAAATAAATAAAAAGTAATACTGAAAAATAATAAAATTTCAATTAATTTCAAAAAAGAAATAATCATTACATTTGGAACTTTATTAATTATAATTAAAACAATAATTTATAATATAATAAAAGAAAAAAAAAAAACATATAAATAAAAATACAATGATAAAAATGTAAAATAAAAATTATATTTAAAAAATAATTAAGATTAGTTTGTTATTATTTGTTATATTTTTAGATAATTATAAATTGAATATAAAAAAAAACATATTTAAAATATCGATTTTATTTTAATAAATTTTAAACAACTCAACATATTATATTCTTTTTTTCTTCAACATCATGCTATATTTTATAATTATTAACAATATATAAACTTTTTTTATTTTATATTTTTTATTATTATTTTTTTTTTTTTTTCCTTTCTAAATAGCTATAATTTTTCTACTAGAAAAAGAAACTTTTGAGACTTAAAGTTACGCATACATGTTTTTTTAAGGTATATAAAAAAGTATATTTTAAAATGTAACATAGTAAAAAAGGTTTTTTAAATTTTGAAAAAAGAAAAAGGTATCAAAAATGAAATTTCTAATTCTTAAAAATTAAAAAAAAAATTACAATAAGCATAGTATTAAATTAAATTTGAAATTATACTTTCACTATATGTATGTATGTGTGTGTATACTTCATGTAATTAAAAAATTAACTCTTGATATTTTTAATATTAACCTAAATATCCTATGAATTATATATGAAATAAAATAAATGTACTTTAAAATTAAAATATATATATAATGGAAAAATACTTTTTTAAAAATAATTTTATCTGTTACACAAGCTTTTTGTCTTATTCTTCTGATTTTGGAATCTTGTTATTATCATAATTAGAATCATTTTCATCTAATGCACATTCGTCTATATCATCAAAAGTACCTGATTTTCTGTTAAAAAAAAAAAAAAAGGAAAAAAAAATATTACAATTATTTTTTATATATTTATTAAAAAAAAATATTAATATAACCTTAATTCTTGAAGCATCTTATATTCATTGTAATGTTTTTTTCTTTTTTCTTTAAAATCAATATTAGATGAACTCTTACTTTCTTGCTTTTCTACCAGTTGATTTAATTTACTTATTAAATCATCAGCAATATTATTCTTAAAAAATTTAAATAAAAATCATTAAAAATAAAATTATGTAATATAAAATTATTTATTCATATATATGAAATAAATAATTAAAGAAAATAAAGTAAAATAAATAAAACGAGAAATATAAAAATATAATTTAACACTAATAAAAAATGTGAAAAATCTTATATTACCATTCCTTCATTATTTCCTTTAATATCTCCATATTTTGAGGCTTCATCTTCTGAGGCACTATCCTATATATATATGCATATACACATATAAAATTATTTACAAAAAAAATATAAGTATATTTATTTAGAAAAATAAACTAATATCAAAAAAAAAAAAAAAAAAAAATGAATTTAATATTTTTCATTTTTTTCATATATATCTTAAATACAAATAAATGGAATAAATATGTATTTAAATTAGTAAATTCCTTTTACCATTAAAATAAAATTGAATGGAGTATTAGGTTCTAATATTTTCATTCTAGAACCTCTTTCCTTATCTTGTTCATTTATAGTTACTTCATCCCATGATATGGTTTTTTTTCTAGAAAAAATAGAATATGAATAAAAAATATATATATCCATAAAATAAATATGTAATTCATTATATAATTTATATATATATATATATATATATATATATATATATATATATATATATATATATATATAATTTTCTCCTAAAAAATGATATAGAATTTTATGTATATATGTTTAATCTTTTTTTTTTTTTAAGGTACGTAGAAGATTTATCTATTTTCTTTTTCATTATTTGTCTTATTTATCATATTTTCCTTATTTTTTATATTTTAACATAGTATATATTTTATTTTATATTTTATATATGAGAAAAAATAAAAAAATAATTTTTAGAAAAGAAAAACATAAAAGAATATTCCTTTAAAAATAAGAATTCATGAAAGTGTAATTTTATTTTTTAAAATATATTTTAATGTTCATTCGAATATAAAGAAGAAAAAATATTCTGTGTGAATGCGTATTTAAAAAAAAATATAAAAGAAAAGCAATTAAATAATTTGTAAAGCATTTTTTTTTTTTTTTTTTTTTTTTTAATAAAAAAAAAATT